TAATAAACTATGACGTCTTGTATATAACAACCATCCGTATTTATTAAAGCGCACACTTGAGCAAACGTCTCCCTGAAGGGTAATAGAGTATTTGTCATGGGATAGAGTAAATTGTCTCACTCGTATTAACCAATGAAAATCTAGCATTTTGACATGAAGTATAATAATCTAAAATAACATTTGTTACACTGACTGTTTATGGTCTGTGAGTACATAAATGTCATATTTCAAAATAACATCTGTTACAATTCCTTTTTTGATTAATTACTAAGTATACCACTGCACCCTGTTTGGAAATACATTTCTTAAGCATCATAAACAAATCATGTGTTAACTCTATTACTTGGACAGCTGAACTATGTCAGAGTGTGTACTAAGTGGATAAAAGTAACAATTGCTTCTCTATAAGGTGAACCATGAATTTTTATACGCCTGTTCTAGACGGGACATATTATTGTTTACCATATTTGGTCCATCCTTCTGTTAACACATTGTACAATAACTCAAATTTGCTTTTTCCAATTTTCTTATCATAAACACACAATACATTTGCTTTTTATGTATCCTTTTGTGCTATGGTAATGTACTCTTTTTTGTTTCTAAGCGAGCACAAGTCAAATAGTCAAAATTTTGCATAATTTTGCCATTTTACTGAAATTTCTATCATTTCATGGCTGTATATCTCCTGAAAAGGGTTATACTTTGTCCTTTCAGACAACACTTTTTCCTCATTGTTATAAACAAATAAGCCGAATAATGTGATACATTTCCTCTGATCTTCTTTAAAATAAATGATAAATATAGGTTCATAGGCCACTAAGTTCATTGCCAATTTTCTCTTATGTGTTAATTTGATATATCATATTGTCTAGATGTGGCCAATATGATGAATGCCATAGTTAGAGGGAACGAAATATTGGTTAAATTTTCTAAATCAATTGTCAAGTGAGATTATAAATTGAACTCGGTTAAGTTAGTATGTCAATTGTTTATAAATTAGCTCAGACTGTATTGGTATTGGTTTGGTGTATAGGGAGTCAGAAAATCACGATAATCTTACGTTGGCTTCAATAGATCTTTTAACATCTGCTGCAGCGAGTATTGAATTATACATTCAGGATTTCCTTTATGATATCCTGCAAGTTCTTCTGAGGATTTAAGTACAAATAAAACAAAACTTCTTTTTTTTAAACCCCTTAAGTCATTATTCTTCTTGCAAATCCTGACTACATTCAATTCATTATTTCGGTACAGTGCTATTATTTGGTTATCATCATTACAAATGTAAAGTCACAGTACCCAAATGGCACTGAATACCAAAATTGCACCTATTTAGCAAAAATACCCAAGATATATGTTTATGACCCAGAAATGTTTTACTACAATGAAATGTAGGATCAATTACCTACAACTGTCAAATTCAAGGGAATATTTTTTTTCGACCTATTTTCGTATGCAACCGGATGTGACGTACTATGATTTGGTGGTATTACACCTAAAGACATGTCTTGTCCTGCTCTAATTAAGTACCTATGCATTATTACATGTCTTGTCCTGCTCTAGTAGTACCTATGCATTATGACATGTCTTGTCCTGCTCTAGTAGAACCTATGCATTATGAGATGTCTTGTCCTGCTCTAATTAAGTACCTATGCATTATGACATGTCTTGTCCTGCTCTAGTAGTACCTATGCATTATGACATGTCTTGTCCTGCTCTAGTAGTACCTATGCATTATGACATGTCTTGTCCTGCTCTAGTAGTACCTATGCATTATGACATGTCTTGTCCTGCTCTAGTAGTACCTATGCATTATGACATGTCTTGTCCTGCTCTAGTAGTACCTATGCATTATGACATGTCATGTCCTGCTCTAATTAAGTACCTATGCATTATGACATGTCTTGTCCTGCTCTAGTTAAGTACCTATGCATTATGACATGTCTTGTCCTGCTCTAGTAGTACCTATGCATTATGAACCTCAATTCAAAGGTCACCTCTCTCATAAATTATTTATCTTTTGATCCTATCGTGACCTTTATTTACAGGTTTGACTGTATATACATGTATATATTGTACTTGTACATTTAGCAATTAAATATATGTGTAAAATATCAATACTTAAACTTGATCTTTGGAAGGGTTGAGATCTCGCAAAACTTGTTTGACCCCGACACATTTTTGCGCCTGTCCGGAGGTCTGGAACCTCTGGCCTTTGTTTTTTTTCTAAATTTTGGTTCTTTTGTATGTTTTGGAGTTTTTGGTGTGGCGTCCATTTCGTTGCACTGGTATACATTATTGTTTGGGGACCGGCTGTGGCCTGCCTCTGGGTACTGTTTTTTTCGCTGCTCTGAAGACCCATTGGTGGCCATCAGCTGTTTTCTCCTCTATAGTCAAAAAAAAAAAAAAAAAAAATAACAATGGAAATCCTAAAACTTTTCTTAGAGACTAAACGATTTGTATTATTATGATTTGACATTATACACATCTTTCAACATAGCTAAATATATTGAAATATACACAAAATGTTCACACTATATATCAACAGATGAAGTATTCACTCCAGAAAGTAAAATCTACGGAAATGTCACATGGCGACGTCCACAGAAAGTCAACTTGTAAAAATGATCAATCAAAATAAGTTGCAGGCATCTATGTCTAAAAAAATGAATAGTAAGCATGAACTATTGTCAAATGGTTCTAAATATGTAAAGAAATAAAACAAAACATCAGTTATTCAATTTTTACGGATGTGAATTTAAGCATGGATGCAATTTGGTAACTCAGTCGTTCGGAGGTCAGTTCAAACCCATTTTTCTATGATTCAAAATTCAAAATTAAATTGGTGGAACTATATAGTAAATAAGGGTGAGCTTGCATGGTGAATCTTGTTTATTGGTTTTCTTTGCAATTGAATTGATTTTTTTTTTTAAATTCAATTCAGTCACCATTAAATGATACAAATAATTAATTCATTAATTGATTAGCTAAAATAACATGTCAATGTGCTATGGCAGCTAGTCTGTTATTTGAACAAATAATGTTAAATAACAAATTTTTAATAATTTTTTAAAAACATACAACTACTTATAGTCAAATTATGATGAACATGGAGATGTTTTTTCTCCAAAGTGGAAGATTTTCCTCCCTCCCCCCCAGGTCAGAGGAAGATTCCCAGATTTTAAAAAAGATATTGGGGGCCTCTTAATTAATAAGATTAGTATATCATGAAGGTATGTGACGATACTTTTATTTAGATACTAAAATATTATTTAATGACACTTTTACATTAATATTTTTGACTTTTTACCTTTTTCAATAATGAATTGTCTGTGTGAGTTTCTATAACTTTCTAGACAATTTGCTGTTGACGCTAAAAAGTACTAAAATTAAATTGCTTTCTGAAAAAAATGTATTGCACAAATCTGTAAAATTATAAGAATATTAACATTTGCCAATGTTGTTAAAGTGAAAAATAATTTACTGGTAAAGATAATCTTAGACATCAACTTTATAAATAAGAAAATCAGATATTGTAAAAAATTATTATTCTGTTCATTGGCAAGGAAATGTTCTCTTAAAATTGTAATTAAAAGCTATATAAAGAGATTTGTCTTTAGTAATCCCTCAATAAATGGCCATAACTCGTATATGGTAAATATTTAATCCTCTGTAATAGAACTTAATCTGTATTATGTAATCCATGACTCTATGATGCTAACTAGAGATTGTTCAAAGTAAGATTGCAGCTTAGTTTGAAATAGCAGTTTCATTGAAAAAAAGAAATTATGTTTTCTGGTCTGTATTAAGCAAGGTACAACCAGTCCAGTTTTGATCTCATATTTATTGATAATTAATGTGTCAATTGTAAGAGCAGACTATTTATGTAATTATATTTGCACTGTTGTTATTGCTTTTTCCCACCCAATTATGTATTGATGCCTGTATGGATATAATTAGTTGCTATACAATTCACTATTACCGTAAAAATAAATATTGGTAATTATTACCTGAAAAATATATTATTTTGCAAGAAATTTATTACGGGTACTATGAAAATGTAACTGTATATAGTAATTAGATAAAGGTGCTTGCTTGGATAAAAATTAACCTAATTTTTAGGAAAATAACCTTTCATGGCAACATTGTTGTGTAAAAAAAGGTATTTTTGTATATCAGTGTGAGACAACAATCAGAAGAGAACATGATCTTAAGGTCAACATTTAGTCTTCAACGTCAGACAAGTGTCTATCCATTATGAGGGTCTGGTTTAGTTTTTAGCTATAAATAAAAAAGATGTGTTGCATGTGTCAAATAGACAGCTACTGAACAACACAATCAAAGCAAACCAACAAACATCTAGAGGTCAACTAACTATTTTAGTAATCAACCCTCAAACTTTTTCAAAACAATCATTGGAATAACAAAAAATTGTGAGAAAAGGTACTTAACGTAATCGTATTGGTACTACAAATAACAAAAACAACAACAAATAAAACAATACTAGTACCTTATCAAAGCATGCTTAGGATAACTGAAAACTGGCGGGGTTCAGAACACCAAAGGGAGTTAACTATTAAAAAATCAGCTGAATGTTTTAATCACATTACTATAAGTAAAGAGAAATCAAGATTCTCAAAGATCAAAATTAGTGATTGTCAAAAGGCTATATATCCAATGAAATTTTTCCTGTAAATTGTGTAGTTCAAATCTAGAATTTTTTTTTTTTAGTCAACAGTTCAAAGTAAATATTTTGTCAAAATTTATGAAAATTAAATGGGCCAAATCTATTTTAGTGTTGGGTACCCCCTTAAAGTTCTTAATCTTGTGATTTTGAAAACATAGTTTCTTACACTAAAAGACATTAACCATTATCCTTGTCATCAGCAAGTGGTAATCATGAGGCTTTGAGTTCAGTTTATTTGTAATTCTGTAATTGTTGAAAGTATGCCAAAAGATTGTTCCAGAATTTAACATATTTTTATTTTTATTTTTTGCAGAGATCATCAGATGACAAACTGCCAGCCAGTACATTAGCCCAGGCAACAGCCAGTGTGGCCCTCAGTCAAATTGTACCTATATTGATATCTAATGATTCCTCAAGAATTTTGCCATGTATCAGATTGTTGTTGTCAAGGTTACCAGGAACAAGAGAAGAATCACCAGTTTTACAGTTTCATGCAGGACTTGGACTTGGAATGTTCTTGGCTAGAATATTTGAGGAACATTTCTCTGATGTTTGTGGTTCACAGGTAGATCTTTCTTTTTGGGAATATTGATTGCCAGGATATTTTAAAACACTTTTCTTTTTTGGCTGTCTTATCTCAATTAAGTATTAATGTCAAATTCCAATTGTATAGTGGATAAAATATAACTTGAAGTTCCAAGGTATTACATGATGGATGTTTATGATGGAATATTTGAGGACAGTTTCTAATATATGTATTTAGGTCTAGGAAAATGGAAAATGAAATACTAAATTCAAAGATATTTTCAAGCCATCATAATTGTTCCCTTAATCACAAAAATATTAGTTTACCATACATATACTTTTAACATGTTCTTTTACTGCCAAACAAACACAGTAATATTATCTTTTAATAAAAGAAAATGAAGGCTATACAACAATGAGACGGCAACCAAATAAGACAAAGAATCAAAATAAAATGTAAAGGGCATCTTTAATGATAAAAAAGAGTGTAAAAACATTTTGAATAAATTAAATGAAAAAATCTGCCAACAACGTCAAATTCTCAAAATAACAAAAAAACGTTGTAGTAAGCTTTCTTAATAAGGCTTAGTCAAGCTAAAGAGGTCTGTTTAGTGGAAAACTGTCCAATATGATGGATGTCAGAGCCCTGTTATTTTACACGTGAGAAAAAATTATTTTGGAAAAATAAGAAAATTTTGAAAAATTGCAGGCAATTTACAAATCATTTCCAGTAAGGAGCTCTTAAGATTATAACTTATGTGTTTATGGATTATAAGGCAAATATTGTTAAACCATAAATAATCTGTTACAAATTATGCCTCAAGTGAGTTATGTTTTTCACAGTTAATTTTGTAATCAATATTAGGCTAGGCTAGACAGTGACCTTCAATTTTTTAGCAGAAAACTGATTATTATTAGTCTTATGGAAATGCGTGGGAAAGAAATTAGGTTTTCATGTTGATAAGTGGGAGCGTAATTTGTGATGTCAATTATTAGACTCATTGTCAACATACAGAGAAATCTTAGTTTTGCACCAAAACACATTATTTTAAGTTTCCATTGTTAATTAAATTTATGCTGTGAAATTTCTTTGAAATCTATTTACAAAATTCATACATTCATGCCATTTTTGACAAAATTAGGTTGAAATTTACAATTGAATTAAAATTGCATTGTGATTTTCATTTCAAGGATATATGTAATATGAAATTAGTTCTAAAAATTGAATGAATTTCAGAGTTTGAAATGTGACTATATAAGCATGATGAATATGGTATAAATAGAGTAAATGGGTATTAAATGTAGGTTTTTCTTATATAACTAGGCCATTCCTCTCAAACTTTGAAGTATTATTTCACATATAGCTTTAGTATGTGATTAATTGATTGACGGATGTTGAGTGTCCAGCTGCAAATCTTTCATTCATAATCAGTACTATTACATGCTTATTTTATATGATCAAACCTTCTTTGCACAAGACTTACAGGGGCAGAGACAGAGACAGAGGAAAGGGGGCGTAATTGTGGAAAATGGTATTTCTTTTGCTAAATATTGATATTTTTACTGATGATAGGGGGAACATAGTCATCATACACCCTCTATGCCCTTGGAAACACAGCTGACTTTCACAGTGCATTGGATTTTTATAGTGTTAGCATACAGCAGCAGGAAGCCATGTCATTATTATTTCTTATTAAGCAACAGAGAAAAGAGAATAAAACCCACTACCTAGTACTCAAGGGGAGCAATCTATCAAGCGAACATGGAGGTCTTTCATATTCAAAAGGTCAAATCAGCACTTTTGTACCATCTCCTCAGTTTTGTTTAATCTGTTTAAAAAAAAATTGTAAATAATGCTAATGCTATGTCAAACAAGAAACTGTACTCATCACTGTCCCATTTCAGGGTATGGTAGAGATCTGGAAGACACTTGACAGTTTTGAAGAATGTTGTTTTTCAACAAAAGACAATAGGTAAGAACAAACAACCAATCAATATGTAATAGGAAAAGGGATCTGGAATGGATTCATGACAAAAAAAAACCAAACACACATAGCAAACATCAAAGAAAAGGAACAACACTTTATTGCAGTTCTTCATCTTAAAGTCAACGTTAAGCAAAATCCCTATTTAGTTCAAGATACCCATATAGCACTTGTTTTTGCAGAATTTACATGCTGTATATGGGCAGAAAAATCTAACAAATATAGCATTATTTGCCTGATAATTTCATTGCAAGATTCAGAAACAATACAAACATTAAATATTTTTTCACCTGCAAGTGAATATAATAAAGGGTATTTTTAAAGAAAAAGTACACTAAGCCAGTTTTCACCGATATTTTTCAAAATAAGGGGTGGACAATTATTGTATATAATCTGAACTGTTACAATGCCTATCTAAAAAATATGATGGTAATTTTACCATAATTTCTCATGCAATGTATTATACTTTAGACAAGGATGTTTGCTAGGACTAGCTATGGCTATAAGTGCCATGTGTGAGGAAGGGAAGACCGAAGCCAGAGCACACGTCTCCTTAGTGTTTGACAAACTGTCTGGACAACTTGAAGCTTCAAAGGAGAAAGATATAGCTTATCAGGTAGGCAAACTATGACCCATTATTAAGGTACACCTGCCTTCACTTTATTGCCTGAAAAAGATCTAAATTAATGCTGAAATCCAAAATATTTTTTTTATTGATACAAAGGAAACATCCAAAACTTGTAAATTGTAGAAATAAAAGACAGCAACATGGCAAAAAATTACAGAAATACAAACAAATCCACAGCACACCCCGTACAAAACTAAAAACTGAGCAACATGAACTCTGGGATGAACTCAGGTGCTCTGGAAGGGTAAGCAGTTTCTGCTCCACAGGTGGCACCCATCGTGTTTGTCATGCAAGTACAAATTCGGTGACAAGTAATGTCTTATGTCCAATGAAAAAATATTATCATTAAAAGGACAAATAAGGACAGAAAAAAATCAGGGTTTCTGCACTAAATACTAACAGCAATATGAAAATAAAGAGATGTGGTATCATTGCCTATTACACAACTGTCTACCAGTGACCAAAAGACAAGGATGTTAACAATAGATCACCATACAGCCTTCAACAATGAGCAAAATCTATACTGTATAGTAAAAGTCCCTGGCATGACAAACTCAAAAGAGAAAACTTACAGCCTGATTAATGCTAAAAACTATAAACAAGAAAAAAATATGACGGACAGCAACAAACGACAACTACTGAAATACAAGCATCCGATAGGGACAGGCTTATCTAGAATGATGTGAGGTTAAACTTGTTTGTGAGCACTCAACCCTGCCCCAACCAGGAACAGTAGTGTAACAGCACAACACAAGAACAAACCACAATAATTGCATTAAAAAAAGAAGAAAGAATTCATAAAGGGAAGTTGATGATGGTTTTAATTTTACCATCTATAAAGGAAAAAATATATATATTAGAATCAAAAGATCATAAATATTTATTTTATATATTATGTAGGCTTTGTCTGTATGCTTGGCATGTGTATCTGGTGCAGCCTTCAGCAGTAATATCATATCACCAGACCAGGTCAACAAGGTTATTGATAGCTTTGTCAAGGTCAACACAGATAATCCTCAGGTATGTTACCATGATTAACTCATTGATAGATTTGTTAAATTATGTTTCCATAACAATGGAGGTCATTGTTAATTTCAAGGTAATCTTAGCACACAAAATCAGCATGAATTTTTTCACTATGCCAGTAGGACAAAGCTATTTGAGCAAGTCAATTTAAGAAATCCTTAGAAATTTTATCACTAATACAAGAAGGTCTTTTTTATTACTAATGCAAGAAGGTCTTTTATAGCTTTTTGAAGACTAGAATAGAACATTATCAAACATATAAGATCATATTTGACATTCTTGTCAAAATTTGAAGTTAAATTCTTATTTAAGATAAGTCAGGAGTCCATTATCTTAGTAATGGCTTCTTGTAATGGTCATACATTGTAGTCTAGTCTGTCTACAGATTCAATCTAAACAAATTGCAACAGAAAAGATTTTTTGAATATCATATGAGATTATTATAGCACATTAACATTAAAAAAGTCTAACAAAATCGTACGGTCGGAAATCGGTGAAAATTGAAAATAAAAATAACGGTGATGTGCCTACCGATTCATGTCAGAAATGGTCCGCCATATCGACAAGGGGAGAAGACTCTTACATATGTCAATTTATAGAAACCTACTGAGTAGATGATATCACTGAAAGAATCGCTAACATAAATTTATGTTATTATACAAATATGCTGGTAAGTGTTTTTTTAACATACCCTAATGTTTTATGTGTATTTATATATTCGGAAATGCGTCTAGAAATGAATTAGACGTACAAAAGTTCTTGACGCAGGTCAAACGACAAAGATCGCTATATTTTTGTTTATTTCAAAGAAAATAAATACAATCAACTACCTTTACGTAAAATCAACTAAATTTAAACTAAAGAAGTCCAAAATATAGCAATAAAAATAATTTAAAGTAACATAGTAAGACTCGTCCCTAACGAAAACAAAAAAGTATGGAACGCCAAATTAACAAAAATGGATAGTCATAATTACAATTTCGTCGATTTTGCACTTATTACTATAGCCAAAGCCTTTATTCTTAACTAATATTGCATTTTCTTCATATAACTAATTGTAAATAATTATTTTCTTCCTTTTTTAATGAATTATTGCCGAAAATAAACTATTTTGTAACTTTATTTCAGCTATCACTTGAAGTGACCTATGTTCGATTCAGCGTCATTATTTTATTGGAGCTAACCACAGTCACTGTGCTAATTGTTTAGCGCAAGGAACATTTCTATATCAGGTACTATATTATATTATTCTGAATTTCTTATTTCCATGAAAATAATTTATCACAATGGAGTCAAAAATATTTGATTGCGTATCTTGCTCTATCAATAAGTCAATTCAAAATGAATGGTTAACAAACAAATGTACGAAATATGCTACAGTAAAACACAATCGAAAGTTTTCAAGTAGGGAAAACATCGAACATAGTATACTTTTAAATGCTTTATGATAAATATTGTGCTTAGTTCAAGCTGCTCGTTTCTGTGTGTACTTTGTATATTTTGTCTTGTTTGTTTTTATGTCCTTTTTCGTTTTCTCGGACGCGATTTAAGCCCATTGATTCAACCTCTCTTGTCATCTTTTTTGACACTTCGGTATTCTCGCTTTTCAAATAATTCATTATCTTCAGTAGTGTTAGAATTCCTAAGAAATTGAGAAATGGACAAATGAATTACAGTGTATAGACACACTAAAAAAGAAACATCACACGAACAAGAAAACATTATTATTTAGAGTCAACGTTGTTAATTCTTCTTGTTCCGAATAATATTATAATGTGTATTGATATGTTATATGACATATAATGATTAAAGTATGCATCAACAAATAATGTGTGTTCTTACTCTTTTCAGCTACAACTATACCATGGAGAAATGCATTGTGTGCCTAAAAGATGACCAACCAACAACGCTGATCAAATTGCGACAAAAAGGTTGTCTTGGAATCATCAGAGCTAGCCAGGAAAGAGGAGACTGTTTGTCCGCATTAGAGGGTAATTTTGTCCATCAACTCTGCAGGAAAACATATACCAATCCAAATGATATAAAGAAATACAAAAAAGAAAAACTTGTTCTACGAGAAACAAATACAAACACTCCAAAATTACGATCAAAGTCCCATTTTGATTTTAAACATCATTGTTTATTCTGTGGAAATGAAGCAACAGACTCCAAGAAAAAAGACAAAAATGTATTTCCAGTTCGTACTGATGATTTTGAGAGTAGCATACAAGATGCTTGTGATCTTCGAAATGATGATTGGGCAGCCGAGGTTCGCGGAAGACTTGAGAGCGTGAGCGACCTCCATGCAGCGGATGCTGTTTATCACCAGGCATGTAGTGTAAACTTCCGCACGTGCAAAAATATTCCTGTATTTCGTTCTCCCATATCACCGGACGCAAAGCCTGAAAACAAAAGAGGAAGGCCAGCTTTGCAAGAAGACGGCTTCTACAAAATAGTCGACTTCCTTTAACATCATGACGACGAACAGATTTCGATATCAGATCTTGTTGAAAAAATGGACGAGATGTGTGATGGGAATGCTTATAGCCAGATATATTTGAAGAAAAGACTGAAGCAACATTTTGGAGACGAAATCATTATTACCGATATACCAGGTAAAAAAAGTGTTGTAACTCTACGAGAAACCGTGAGTTGCATTCTTCAGGACTATTACCAGAGGCCAAGTAATCTAAATCCAGATGACGAAAAGAGAGCTTTGATCAAAGCAGCTGCCAAACTGATAAAAAGCGACATCCGATCTGTAGATACCACAAAGTCTATTTATCCAACTCCAGCCAACATTGCATCAGTTGATACAAATTTATCATACTTACCCGAAAGCCTGCTGTTATTCCTTTCTACTATATTTTCTGAGAAGGACCCATTAGTGAAAATAGCTTCCATAGGACAAGCAGTAATGCAAGCTTCACGACCTCGAGCACTTATTACACCGCTTCAACTCGGTCTAGGAGTACAAGTGCATCACAACTTCGCTTCACGATTTCTTGTGTCCACATTGAACAGCTTAGGATTTTGTTCGTCATACTATGAAGTCCAGAAGTTTGAATCAAGTGCTGCAGCTGTACAAGGAGTTGACCTTCCAGGCGATGTAAGCAACAGCTTTGTACAATTTGTAGCAGATAACGTTGACCACAACACAAGAACGATAGACGGCCTCAACACTTTTCATGGCATGGGCATAATAGCTGGAATTACGCCCGGTACGAAGAGAACACAACCCATTCCTAGAATAGCTTTTTCTACTGATGAAATAAAAGCATTAGCAAAGATAGAGATAAAATATTACAAACCTCAATCAGATCGCATGGCTGAATTAAGTTATGCTGAGTTGAAAAACTTAAACACACTGGATAAGACTTTTCGTCTTGATCTGCTGTCGGTTATTGTTTGGCCTTTCAAGTATCCAATACCAATGTGGTCTGGCTTCATGCAGATGGTTCAGACAGGAGACTACCCAGGAAAATCATCGGTTTCATTCCTGCCTATGATAGATTTAAATGCTTCGGACATGACCTGTATTTATTCCACATTGAACTTCGTCGCCAAACAAGCAAAGCGTTATGACATAACAGCAATCTTGACTTTTGATCAACCTCTGTATTGGAAAGCCTTCTCAATTTTTGAAAACGAAAATCCAGGAAGCACCTTGAAGTCTATGGTTTTACGATTAGGACCATTCCACACAGAGATGAGCTTCCTCGGCTCAATAGGGAATCTTATGAGTAATACTGGTTTGAAAGAGATGTTAGAACTCATATACGCTCCGAATGCCGTCACGCATATCCTTAGCGGAAAAGCTGTAGCTAGAGCTTTTAGAGGTCACATGTTGGTGGATACAGCACTGTATTGTTTGTTGATTGCAGAGATATTCAATATTGACGTATCTAAACTTTTGGAAGAACCCAATTCAACCCTTGAAACAACTGAAATGAAGGAAATTGATGAATTATATTCCCAATTATCCTCTGGAGAGCTGTCAGCTTTAGAAGCGGGTGAATCGGACGTCTTGAAAAACCTAGAAACAACGGTCCGGAGAAAAACTGAAATCTTAAAGCAAAGTCGTACAGCAAAGTTGTGGCTGCAATATTCAGAAATGCTTCAGGTTTTAAGACAATTTATCAAAGCAGAGAGAACCGGTAACTGGCCTCTTCATTTGCAAAGCATCCAAGCAATGTTGCCCTTTTTGGCTGCATCTGGACATAATCTGTACACGAAAACAGCATACGTTTACTTAATGACAATGCAATCTTTAGACAAAGAACATTCTGATGTGTATGCTAATTTTATCAATGGGAATCATGTCATAAGACGCAGCAATAGGTACTGGGCTGGAATATCTTCAGATTTATTTATAGAACAAGTCCTAATGAGAAGTGTGAAAACAGCGGGTGGATTGACGAGAGGTCGAGGAATGACCGAAAGCCAGCGTTCCCTTTGGCTTATGTCCATGCCAGCATGTGCTGAGATTAATCAAGCTATGCAGGATTTGTCCGGGGTAGGATACTTTTCTAGTGAACAACACAAAGACGAAACACATGCAAGACAAAAAAAGGACACTAACGACATTCAAACTCTTCTCACGTTCTTGAAAAGTCGGAATCCATTCATTGATTCAGAGGTAGACCGTTCACCACGAAACATTGAGACAGGAGTAGTAGCTGATAAAACCGTGAATGTAGATGATGCCAAAAAGGTTGGGACTTCCATTCTACAAGAACTAGTAGGAAAGAATATAGCTGATCACACGTTTAGGAGAAAGAAACAAGCCATTACGCTTGGAAACAAAGTTCAGGCAAAACTTGACAGCGAACCTATCAGAATAGATTCACAGCTCCTTTTTCAGAGATGCACCACTGCTGCGCATGGTATTTTCGAAGATATTTCAGAGATATTTCAATTTGAATTATGCGGAGTTCCTTCATCAATATTTGAAACCACGGGCCTTCCAAGAGAACCCCAAAAATCAACCCTTGCCGAATATATGTGGAATTTGATTGAACTTAAACCAAAAGCACCAACAGAAACCCACTTTGTACTTGATGGTGGTTCTAATATACACCGTTTACCATGGACAAAAGGAGCTACAGTTGACACCATATGTATGACTTACGTCAATTATGTTAGCAATCACTATAAAGATGCAACTGTTGTGTTTGACGGATATCCATCAGTTCCAACTACAAAAGATGTAACTCATTTCAGACGTACTAAAGGAATCATATCTCCAAAAGTCAATTTTAACAATGACACACCAATTAAAACAAAAAAAGATGAATTTCTTTCAAATTCAGAAAATAAACAGCACTTTATCAATACCCTTGGAGAAAAACTTAAGGACGGACATGTTCAAGTTATCCATGCAGAAGACGATGCCGATCTAAAGATTGTGCTTACAGCAATAGAAAAGTCGGCACAACATACAACTACCGTCATAGGAGAAGACACTGACCTACTCATACTGCTCTGTTATCATTCAAAAGATACTATAAACAAGATTTCTTTCAAATCAGAAGCCAAGCAAAACACTCACGAAATAAAGATTTGGGACATAACAGAGACAAGGAGAAAAATTGGACCACTTGTTTGCAATATTTTGCCATTCATTCACGCCTTTAGCGGATGCGACACAACATCTCGAATTTTTGGTCAAGGCAAGGGCACGGTTTTCAAGAAAATTAGTACTAACATTAAATTACAAGATCATGCAGCTGTCTTTTGCCAGGAGTCTAATGTCGAGAGCCTTCATAATGCAGGAGAACAAATCTTTGTTGCATTATATGGAGGGTTACAAGATGTTGAAACATTAGATATGCTGCGCTACAGAATATTCGCCTCCAAAGTTTGCGTTGGAAATATATATGTACAAGTGCACACCCTCCCACCAACATCTGACGCTGCTAAGCTACATTGCATGAGAGTTTATCATCAAACTCAAGTTTGGATTGGGAAAGGTGATAAATTAGATCCAAAGGACTGGGGTTGGCATGTTGAGGACAATAAATTGCTTCCTTCCAATTAGAAAAATACTACCACCGGCTCCCGAAAAGCTTCTTAGGATAATCAGATGTAATTGCAAATTGAACTGTGACACAAAACGATGCTCCTGTCGTAAACACGGAATAGACTGTTCCCCAGCATGTGGGGAATGTCGGGGAATGAATTGTTCAAATACAAGTAACATTACAGAAGCCGATGAACTTGACGACATGTGAAGGCATCAATATGCATGTACATTGCAGAGACATATAACTATACATTAAGAAGACTTATATCAAAATTGTCTGTTTTTTGTTAAATTAAAACAAAATCAAATATTTTCAAAGATAAATTTTTCAGAAATTATATTTATCATCCTAATACTTTTAGGTGAAAACAAAAGTAACCAAGTAAAAATCAAAGTAATCAATTATTGAACAGTTTAGGCCATTTATTGTATTAATTCAATGAATGTTATAACAAATCTAACATTAATACATTTTTTGTAGAAATTTATTTCATTTTTTTTTGGGAGAGGGGGGGGGGGGGGGTAATTTTGGACTAATTTCGTTGATAGATAAATAGATTTTCCTTAAAACAACCGTTTGCTTTCTTTTTTCACTTCTTAAATAATTGTAAATAATTGTGTTAAATGTTGTCCTTCAAAGCTGCCTTCAAAATAAAACGTTTGAAAACAGCCATATATGAATCTCAAATATATGGGTTTTTTTTTGCAATTTTTTGTGATTTTATCATTAAAAGGGATAATTTTACCAATAAATTCTAACTCTGGATTGTAAATTTTACATCGGAAATGTTCTTTGTAGTTGTTTTTGTCATCTGAATTCGTTTTTGACATTTGATTGGCTAACATAGTGCCATAATTTCGATTTTCAAAATTTTTTCACAATTTCATCGATTTTTGGTTAAAATCAATGTTTTTAGCCCAAAATGGTGATTTCCGATCGTACGATTTTTCTAGACTTTTCATATATGATTGTGTCATGCTTTGGTATTGTAAAACCGTTGAAACCATTTCTGTTGCAATTTGTTTAGATTTATGCAATATTTGCCGTAGACAGACTAGACTATTGATCAATGATGAAACTGTCAAGTTTACTGATTCTTTATCAATGAAATGTTTTTTAAGACTGCATGAATTGTGAAACAACAAATGCAGTATTAACATACATAAGAGTAGACACATTTCTAAAATAAGATAGCCTTTAAAAAATTTCATTGAAAATTAAGAATGAAATACTTTTATTGCCAACCAAATGAAACTTTTCCACAGATTCATCTATTGTTCAATATAAACTTTTGTCAGTTCTATTGTCCCATTGAATAAATACAGTATAGCTATTGTTCTCTGTGTAGTTTTTCACTGGGACCTTTAAATTTCTTCTAAGATAACTATCACTCATTGATTATTTTACCTGAGTAAAAAAAATTATAGCTATTGTATTTATTCAATGGGACAATAGAACTGACAAAAGTTTAAATAGATTGAACAATAAGAGATGAATCTGTTGAAAAGTTTCATTTGGTTCGCAATAAAAGTAAGGATTATTTACATACCGCTACTAGGTTAAATTTTCCAAAACATTTTGCAACAATATTGCATTATTAACAAAAGTAGAATAATATACTGTAGATTCATAAAATTTTGCATGAATTTATTATTGCAATCGTTAAATCATCAATAAAATGCAAGATCAGACAGATATTGCAATATCAGGAAATGTTAAATACAAATAATGCTAAAAAAAAAAATATGATATATGAGTTTTAATTTTTGTGAACCTATCCAGTCACAATTTTTTACAATGATAAAATCATTGCAAAAATATCTGAATTAACAGTTCTAAACAGTATGTTGTTCATGTTGTGTTGCTGTCACAATAATAATACATCTTTCTCTCTTCTGATTCATCTGTCTTTCCATTTATACAGATAACAGGAGTAAGTCTGGCCCTAGGAATGCTGTGTTATAGTATCAGTAAAACAGGACATCCTACTATCGGTGAAGTGAAGATCTTATTGTACGGAAAATGGATGGCTACTTTGAAGAAAATGGTAACCAAGAAATTAACTTCTGTTTGTTTGTTCTGACAGTGTTAAATTTCCATCAATCAATCAATATGCTAGAATTTTATCATTTCTCTTGGCCATTCAGAGCTTTGATATATGTATGTAGCCTTGTTTATTGAAGGGGTTGCCCTACATCTATATTCCTTTAAAAAAATTTCACATCAACTATTCCATAAATGTTTGGAAATCTTTTATATTCCTAAAATATTTGAAGGAATCACTAAAAAAAATTGAAAATATTGCTTATCCCAAAAACAAAACAGATAACAAATATGGCATAAACTGAAAATGGAAATAAGGTAAGCAGAGGAATGAAATACAAAAATAAATAACTGGTCAAATGTAAAACTATTAAACTGTGTAACATAAACTCTTGACTTGATAGGTGGACACTTTTTCGCTTAAAGATGTTATATCCTCACTTAGTCTGGACATTTTTATTCCCTGTTTACTTAATATCCCTTAGCAAAGACCTTTCAGGTAAAAATATTGAGCCAAAATTGTTCTGGTTTTTATCTTAATTCTTTTTTAGGTTTTTATACACCCTTTTTAAAAGTGGAGGCTTTATTACAATCACCTTGTCTGTATATCGATCAGTCTTTCATAAGCAAAAACCTTTCATGTGAAATTATTGAGCCAACATTGTTCTGGTTTTTATTTTTATTCTTTTGGGCTTCTATACCCCACTACAAAAGTGTGGGTTATATTGCTGTCACCTTGTCTGTCTATCAGTCTTTCTATTCGTCCACACCCTTTTCTCTGGAACTGCTAAATAGAACAATTTCATTTTTGGTCAGCAGCTTAACAGTGATGAGTTGTAACTGTCAGACACCTTCTTTCTTTTTCTCCAATACCTTAGATATTTCAATGAACTTAAAATTTGTCTTTCACACATTTCTTCAGTACTACTGATCAAACTGACTTCATATTTGGTCATTTCTCTCCCCCAGATGGTTATGTACCCAACATGTCAAATCATTGTTAGATCACCCGTAAGGTGAGTTGCTATTGTATAATCAGTTTGCCAATGATGAGTTTTTACTTGGAAGACTTCTACTTCCTGTTTGTTGCTACTTTGAATTTTTCAACATTTTGAATGAAAACAAATATTTTCGTCACACTTTTCTCAAAAACTACACTGAACAGAATGACTTTATATTTAATCAGCAGGTTGACAGGGATGAGATGTAACTAACACCTAGTTCCTGTTTTCTTATACATTTTGTACTTCAATTAAATAGTAAGGAAATACTAAACATGACAACTTGTGTATTCTTGTTTAAATTTAGCAGTTTTGACCTTTTACAGGTTGTTGAATGTATCTTTGAACAGTTCTTCATTATTGTACATAAGATGAATGGCTTTCCAAAGTGTCAGCCATTTTGATTTTGGTACTGTCTGCAAATTAATTTGGTTGTTCACTTCATCACATACAAGGTCCTTGTAACTGTGTATTTTAGTCCTTAGAAGCCTTCTAGTGATATTTATTTTTAAATTTGCTTTATTTGCACTTAAGTATGCAACTAGTAAAACCATTCATGTGCTCAAAACATTTGTCATTAGCCTCCAAAAACCTTGTTTACTTAAGTTCAAAGCAAAACATCATATGAGACCTGACAGTAGAGCTATTAGAGATAAGAGCTTGTAATGTCTTTTAATGAGATATGAGTGACATCTAAAGTGTAGTCTTAGGTTTTAAAACTGTTTTTTTTAATCTACAAATAAATTATATCAAAATAAGGTTAAAAAAATCATTTAAGGGCAAATGCACTCAAGACAAAGTAAATGAAACATGTCACTAGCCTCCAAAAACCTTGGCAAAAATTTATAGAAAATAAATTTTAACTGGAAATAAATTTCAAGATTTATTTCTTACTTAGCCATTGGATAAAATTTATTGTCAACAAATTTGAAAGCTTTTAAGATTAAGTAGATATTTATTAAATTGAAAAAATCTTAAGCAAGTGTCAAGTTTTCCTAGACCAGTAATTTAGAAATGATTTTTTTTTGACAGGATGAAGATTCCATGGTGACTTTGGCTTGTTTAAATGGTTTGATTGCTTTGGTTGGATCTGAAAGAACTTTGATTCCAGTGAGTGAAGACTGTAATATTACTGTGGATTCACTTATTTTCGTGGGTACCGATTTTTGTGGATGAAGGAAAACTTACATATTCGTGGATATTTAATTTCGTGGTTTTGCCGAAGTTTGCATACAAGCCTATAGGAAATTTGTCATTCGTTGAACATTTAATTTCGTGGTTCACCTTTACCCACGAAATCTACGAAAATTGGTATCCAACGAATAATAATGAATCCACAGTATATAGATATGAATTTATTTGAGTAAAGTTTTTTTTTATGAAAATGAACAAAAGCATTGATGAAATTTTACATTAGCAGAATTCAAAGGTTTTTTAAAGGGGTGACAAATCTGATGGGTTAAAGGGGACAACTCTTTAAATCATTTGTAACATTCACTTTCATCAATGCTTTTTAAGAGTTCATGTGACATAGAATTAAAATAGTTGTACTACTTTGAATCTTAGAATATATCTATGTTAGTCCTTGACACAAATGTACCACACGGGTGGAAAAGAGTGGCAGTCATTTTGGGAGATATGTCACTTAAAGTGTGTCTACTTCCAAAAGTAGATAAAAAAATATAACTCATAAGAATAAAGATGGCACAAAACAGATGTACTGGAAAGTTTTTTTCATTTACCAAAAATTCATACATTCAAACACAATGGTGGATCTAAAACTTATTAATAATGAAATATAAATAGATAAGGGCTTAGATTTTTTTTTTCCTTTTACCTGATCACCTGTTGTATTTGTGATATAGAAAGAACTTCAATTATAGAGATTGAAAGATATGCTGTGATTTTTCATGAGAAAATGTGTTTTGATTGAGATTGTTCTGGTCATGGTTTCTATACAGAATCAAAGTTTTTTTTCTGTTAGTGTCAATCATAAATGTTGCCATGGATACCATTAACAAGATAATCTTATGTTCAGGTACAAAGTAATACTTCCATGTTAGGTGGGGATGTAAATGTAGATGTAATTATCAAACATGCCATGGACACTGTTTTAAAGGGAGATAACTTTGGAATACAGAGTAACTGTTCTTGGATGTTAGGACATCTGTATTTGTCTGCCTGTGCTGTAGCTGAGACCAGGGCAAGTGGTAAGTCTTGACGGTCATACATATATAGTTTTTTATAAAGCAAAAGTGAACAGATTCAGTTCATACTGTTTTTTGGTAATGGCACTTTGTCTGCATCTTAACAGGTTTTCAGGTACAAATGTGAATTGTTACCATTAATATTAGCAATGTTGACATTAACAACAACATGACATTAACAGATATTAATGTGAAATCATACTAAATTTGGCACAAAATTTTTTTAAGATTTTCACTTCTAAGTGATTTATCATTTAAAAAAAAAATTATTCACCAAATGGAATTTTCCAACTAGAAGTAGATATTATCTAACAATTTGCAGGTATTGTTGAAAACATCTATCTAGTGGTGTTTCATTTTGTCTGTATGACATTCGGCCATACATGATGATATATAACAGTAAAGGAACAAATATGCAATAGGAGGGGCACAGTTAGTTTCCATTTGAGTACCAATAACTTGACAGTATACTGTAATAATACACCAAAATTAGTAAAAATATAATGATGCAAAAAAAATAATTTGCATTTCTAATAAGTGTATTCTTTGTTAGTTGTATATGTGTGACAGACACACAGAGATTATCAAAAAACCATCCTCTTAATTAAGAAATGTTTTGTTCGATAAGATTATATGGTATTGTCTTATACAGAATAATGAAATCATCAATCAATGGAGAACTGGCCCTCACTGGAATGTAAGCATGCTTGTGAGGAGACCTGATTTTTGAATTGCTGTTGCTTTGGCAAATAAATATCCAATTTTTAAGTCCTGCTCCACTGAATTTGAAATAGTTTTCTTATCAGATGAGTTTTTGATGTGCAATGCATATTTCAAAATGAATTCTACTTTCAAATAAATGCATTAATATGACAGCTTAACAAATTATTTTTTTGTTTTCTTTTACTGCAAGGAATTCTCACCATATAAGTCTTGGTAGTTTTTTCTTTTGTAAATTGAATAAAGAATTTATTGACTCTATAGGGACAAAAATATGAACAGAAATTGATTTTTGTAAACAGTAATTTTCAATAAAAAATTTTAAATGATAACACAAGACATTTAACAATGACAGAAAAAAAATTGACATGTCAAAAAAGAAAATGATTAATAAAAGAAATAGATGTAAATGGAAATATAAATGATAGAATTTTCCTGTTAAATTAATTACAGTATGACAGAAACTGTAAATCAATGTGATTCAAAAATAATTTAATGAAAGCATTCAATAATCTGTCAAAAATGTCAAGGTTGGAGTATTTATTTTATGATTTAAGTAGATCTAAACTATACAAAATTTGTTTCTTTTTACTATCATATGAAAAAGCTTCTCTTTCTTTGAATATTGTTTACATTAGTTGTCAATACCTGATCCAAAAAGATTTTTTTGCTTTCATCATCTGTATTAAGTTTTTTGGGGGATAGAAGAGAGGGAATGTCAATAGTTTTGATTTTTTTAAAAGATAATTTTTTTTCTATATTGTCAAGGTTATTTGAGTTTGTGTCCTTCAGGGCGAAACCATTAACCATATTTTTGTGCCTCCGCCGTAGCGGAGGGGGCATTAAGTTTTACCCTTGTCCGTCCATACGTACCTACCTACCAAAGTTGGTTTGCGTTCTCTAACTTTAGTTTGCATCAAGCAAATATTATTAAACTTATACAAATTGCTTATTACCACAAAATACAGATCAAGTTTGAATTTTGGTGGTGTCACTTTGATCATTCTAGAGTTATGCCCCTTTACATATGGAAAAATTGCTGAATTTTCCGTTTCCGTTCTCTAACTTTAGTTTGCCTCAACCAAATGTTATGAAACTTATACACAATGCTTATTACCACAAAACACAGATCCAGTTTAAATTTTGATGGCGTCACTTCAACGGTTCTAGAGTTATGCTCCTTTGCAAAAGGAAAAATTGCTGAATTTTTCATTTATGTTCTCTAACTTTAGTTTGCCTCTCCAAAATGGTATGAAACTTATACACAATGCTTATTACCACAAAATACAGATCAAGTTGGAATTTTTGTGGTGTCACTATAATCGTTCTAGAGTTATGCCCCTTTACAAATGGAAAAATTGCTGAATTTTTCATTACTGTTCTCTAACTTTAGTGTTCAACCAAATGTTATGAAACTTATACACAATGCTTATTACCACAAAACACAGATCAAGTGTGAATTTTGGTGGCGTCACTTTAATTGTTCAATAGTTATGCCCCTTTACAAATGGAAAAATTGATGAATTTTTCGTTACCGTTCTCTAACTTTAGTTTGTTTCAACCAAATGTTATGAAACTTATACACAATACTTATTACCACAAAATACAGATCAAGTTTGAATTTTGGTGGTGTCACTTCAACCGTTGTAGAGTTATGCCCCTTTACAAATGGAAAAATTGCTGAATTTTTTGTTTCCATTCTCTAACTTAAGTTTGCCTCAACCAAATGTTATGAAACTTATACACAATACTTATTACCACAAAACTCAGATCAATTACAAATTTGGGTAGCATCACTTTTACTGTTCTTCAGTTATGTCCCTTTATAACTTTATATGATATGCAAGCGTGGGCATCATCTGTGTCCCATGGACACATTCCCCATTTATTTTTTAAATCAAGCATCGTCAAAAAATTTAAATCTGAACTTTTTCTATCACCCCCATCTAATTAAAATTAAATTTTTTCACTTGTTCATTTTTTCAATGGTTAGACGCTCCTATGCAGCAAGCAACCTTAAAAAATGAGCAAGTGCAGAGATTTAAGTTTAATTAGATTGCTTACACCCTCAAGGCACTTAGACTGTAAATTAATTTCCTTTCATCTATATTTTCTGACAAAATGTATGATATAATTCAGTGTTTTTTTTTCATATTTTCAATTACAGTACCACCCAATTATTCTTATTTGCCGGAACACAGCTTTGTAAGGGCTCTCACAGACTGTCTTCTGGAAGCTGCTAAAGTTGGTATGTAATTACTATAATATAGATTATATAATGAAGTTCAACAAAGCTAGATGTACTGATAAGAATTTTACATTTTAAGCAGAAGCAGATTTAGAGAGACATAAGGGGCATGCAGCCATGAAAAATTTAAAACCATGCTTTCATTAAAAATTTAGTAAATGATATAGAATTTATAAAGGGGTTGTGGGGACAATTTATAATCTGACTCTTACATAAGAAACAACAGCTATTCAGTTTGACGTTTTACTTGTGACTAACAAAACCTAAGGTGACCTTGGATACAACAGTAATTTGCTATCGCTGTCTTCAGCTGTATCGAATCTGAAAAAATTACCGAAAACTGTGTATAACACATCACAGTACTGCAATGTCTCCTTCATAAATATCAGATTTCTCACTGTAAATTATGAAATTACTGTAAACCAACTAATTTTCGCGAGCGATTTATTTTCGCGACTTTCGCGAGTAGAAAAATAACGCGAATTTAAATCGACGCAAACATTTTAAACTTGGATCTTTCCTTATTTAACTACATCAAGTGAATATGAAAATTGCGAAATCAAATCGCCAAGAAGTGGACTAGAAAGGGCTAAACGCGAAATAAAGTATCTGTGAAAATAAGTTGGTTTACAGTACATGGAAACCTTTAAACAGCAAACCACAATTGCAGAAAGTTATTTGTACATTTACATGCCTTCATCTTTGATGCATTATATGAGACACATAGCTTTTTTTACATGTAAGAATATAATTAATTAAAATGCCTCATGAATCTGAATATAATTTTAAAGTATGTAAGTGACCAGCCCAATTTATACATAACCATAAACTGAGAAAGTGCGTATTTAATTATATCCTTTTTACTTACGTTTCAAATAATGTGAGTGACATATACTGCTTGTAGAACACATATGTATACATTATGGATTGTTAGGTCCTGAGATAATGTCAGTGGCAGTTTTCAGGCAAATTAATATTTATATACATGTATATATAAACTTGCGAATCCAGAAGTGGATTGAAAATATGCCCGTTTCAAGACATATAATCTTGAATCTTATACAAACTTTAAAATGTCATGTTTGAGAATAGTTCTGTTATATTAAGTATAGGAATTGAATGTGTTGAATCATCAAGTTTGAGTTTGAGATACTTGTAAGGTTTAGTTCAAGCTCAAGTTCAAGTTCAAGTTCAAGTTCAAGTTGGACAAATTAGTTTTAGATAACAATGTTTGTTTCTAAGTTTCTAAAAAATCAAAAGTTTAAAATTACAAATAGCAAATCAATCTGAAAATAGTAACAAAATATAATACTGTAATGAAAGAAGTTGGAAGAGGCCCAGTATAATCTAAAACATTCAATAAAATGGAGATTGGAAATGATATTTAAGTAGAATAACAGACAACAAAATAAAACATAAAACCAAAGATCAACCAACAAGAATTCATAAACCCCAAAGTGTGGTGTTTCAAAAAATTAAATGATAATTTTCAATCCAGTATATATTTTTTATAATATTTGTGTTTTAACTTCCTTTTACTGAGTCATTTACTTAAACTATAGATATTTAACTAACCTCAAACTGTGTCTGAAACATAAATAGATCTGGAAAATATAAGTACAAAAAAAACCTGATTGCATCATTAAGAATCATGAAATATAAAAGATAAGAAGATTATGTTGGTTTCAAGTTCAGAGAAGCTATTTAGCAAGAACTCTTTTAGTCTTTTGAAGCCACCAAAGGTTAAAGGGTCTGTATTATAAAGATTATAATTTAGTTTGATAAAGCCAGATGTACTTATCATTGGATTAGTACATGTTGGTCGGGAGAAAATTTTCATTAACACAGGGTTCCATATAAGGGATCTTAAACTTATTACTGATACACTTGATAAATTATTTACCTATAAAGATTCTTATTTTGTCATTTAAATGTTAAAATTGTATATCATTAATAAGTAGAAGGTTTTGTGCCACAAAATTTGGTTTTAACCTACCTCTTACACTAAGCAGGCTTTTAAATTGTTGTTCCACATGGCATGTAATATTTGTAGTGTTTTTACATTGTTTGCCAATATTTTTTGAATTTAGATCTTTGAAATTTCTTTTGAATTTTGTACATCGTTATCAGGATTACTACCAAACTTATACAAGTTATATGTTTGCTTGAAATTTTCATTTCAGTTAGAATTTATTCTTTGAGATATCTAAATATTAGTTTTTGTATTGCAATTAGTTATTACTTAGGTATGGCACAATGTTCAATTGACTTTAACTAAGTTTTACAAGAAAAAAAACTGGTTTCAAGACCTGCTATTTTATAACAGCCTTTAATAGATTTAAAATAAAATTCTCAACTTGCAAGAAAATTGGTTAAGACTTAAAGATTTTGGTTTGTTAAAGTTTCAAACTACCAGTACCATGGGTAAGAAATGCAGCTTTTACTATAGTTTGAAAGCATGGTATAACAATTTAAAAAAGGAAACTAGCCACACTTCTAGGAGTCATATAAGTAAGGATAAACATATAAATATGCAACACTACTTACAAGAAAGTTGAAACTAGGCTTCTTCAAATTCGAAGCTGCTGATTTTGTATAACAAAGGAAAATGTTCAGTAACTGATGGAGAAAGCTTTATTAAATTTGTTTGTAACTACTTTTCTATAAGTCAGAAAGTTTGGAGTGACAGTTTCAAAATTAAACATTAAGAGTGCTCACAAAAAACCCTTCGAAAGTACGTAACAATTGACTTGGCATCTGGATTATGTAAAAGATTATAATTTTATATGTTTCAAGAGGTTTATTGTTGAAGGAAACCTAATAATAGTTGTCAACTGTTATGAAACAAGACAGTTTATCTGCTTTATATAGTTCTTAATTAAGAAAAAAATATTTGTACTCGTTCACGTCAGATTCTTGTGTAAACAATAGAAAGTTTAAAAGAAAGACACATATATGCAGTAAAATTCTTCGATGTTTTAAAATAATCTTGATTTTATTGATACCGGTAAGTGAATTGGATGATACAGTCTGGACTCTTCAGTGCAGAAATGTCAGGTGTACTGTGACTATGATATGTCATTAACATGTGGAAATTGACATATTTGACCTTAAATTGACATTTAAATTAAAGATAGTTTTAGGCAAATTAGATAAAGGCTACACTGCTGTACCAAAAACAGATTGAAATTGGCTTTTGAACATCTAAAGGATGTTATTTAATAGATTTTATTAATATATAACTTTTTTTATTTTTGAAACCAGAGGGCCAAAAATGATCACATTGTACCGTCTGCTTCAGAGAAGTTAGCTAATATTGGCAATCATGCCACATCTTTTTGTTTTTATTTTGAAAGTACATAACAATTAACTTGCCATCTGGATTATGTAAAATATTCTTAACTTAATATGATTTGAGAGATTTATTGTTGAAGGAAAGGAAATAATAGTTGTCATTACTCATTAAATAATCTTCATTTTATTGATAAGTGAACAGGATGATATAATCTGGACCCTTCAGTGCAGAAATGTCAGTTGTACTGTGACTATGATATGTCATGACCATGTTGAAATTGACATATTTGACGTAAAATTGCCAATTAATTAAAAATAGTTTTTGGCAAATTTAACAATATGCTACTACCTTACCAAAAAAAAAAATTACCCATATCAACATCTTTGTATGAGATATCTTGCAGCAAATTATCTTTTTGGATAATTCTGTGTCTCATATCTAAATATAAACTTCAAAACAATGCTAATTTGGCATTTCTAGCAATTTTTCATGAAATAAAAAAACCTGGGAACCCCTAAGTAAGTATCTGACAAATTAAAAAGTCTGACTAGACCAATTTGAAAATAAGGAGATGTGGTAACATATGATTGCCAATGAGACAGCTATCCACCAGAGTACAAATGAAGTGAATTGTCTTTTGAAGATCTAAAGGATGTTATTGAATATGTTTATATATATAACGCTTCAATTTACAAAACCAGAGGGCCAAAAAGTGGTCATATTATACCTTCTGCTTAGAGAAGTTAGCTGCTAAATGTATTCTTCAGACTCCTAAAAGCCAGGTATGTTTTCTCTGATGTATTGGGTAAAATTTATTTATGTTTTTGTTTTAGTTTTTTTTTCCTTTTTGTTCTTACTTTCAGTATGATTCATTGATTAATCGATGATAGCTGTTTGCTTAAAATTCCTTGCTTGGGTTGAAAAAAATTGCATTCATATTCAGGACTAGATCAAGTTATATCAATTTAAAGGATCCAAAAAGTTGGCTAACATGGAGCTATATATAATAATGGCATTAAAAAACAAGGGAGCTTTTTTGGGTAGAGTCAGAACTTAACCAGTATTTAACCTATAAACCTGCCAAAAAGCTGTCAATAATGTTCTTTAACATACAAAAAGAATATCCAATTCTCACACAGTAGATGCTTGCCTTGGATAAATATCCCTTAGACAGGGTTAACTTAAATCTAGAAAAAAGACAAGTTGAAGGTTAACCCTTTCCCTTTCACACCGGTACAGCTTACCGGTGAAGCAAATTTTAAGATATTTTTTTGGCATTTAGTCTTGTTTCATTGTCATTCGCTTACGTACAGATGTGGTTAAGGGCTCAAATTAATCCTCAGAATACCAGCAATGTGATTTAATGTGCATCAAACTTCTGTCAATTCACCTGTTACTGACATGAATTTTTTCTGTAAAAACCATTTTTATTTCTTCAAATTTTAAAGAATATTTTCACAAAGAAGTGCATAGAAAACTGTTCTTTTGAGGGGAATTATGACTTTTTTCAATAACTGTGCAGTGAGTTTTTGAAGAATAGTATTAAAATAATAGTTCTAACTTGTACACTAGTTAAAAATGTAATTTTTAGTGTACCAGTGCAATCACAAACTTGAAATGCGCTAAAAATCCATAGTCATTTCTTAAAGATTTTATTGTAAAAGAGACAAAAACCACAATATATCCTGAAATTTTTAGCAAAGTT